TATATATGTATATATTATATATATATATAAAATTAGGTTAAACCCATATCAACACAATTTCTTCTTCTTCTTCTCTCCCAGAGTTTAAGTCTTAAGTCATGACATCGCCTACGACACCCATCTGTCTAAGGTAATCACTTTTCCTCTCGACAATGAGGTTGGCAGCCTTACACAATTTGAATGTCGTCTGTATTTTTAAAAAATAAAAACAAAAACAAAATTTTGATAGCCTCAAATGTTTCAAACAGGAAGGAGGAGGAGATGTAGATCTACTAATCTTCTTCTATCCCGTGGTTGGGGCAACCGTTGGGACACCACTGCATTGGAAAACCAGCTCTCGCCATCTATTTTTGTCCTCTGCTCTCCTCAGATTGTCACCTATCGTCTTTCCTGTCCACTCTTTAATGTTGTCCTCCCGTCTCCTTCTCTGCTTTCCTCTCTTTCTCTTTCCTTGTACGGTTCCTTGCAGGATTGTTTTGGCAAGTCCTGTGGATCTTGTGACATGCTCATACCATTTTAGTTTTCGTCTCTTCACTGTGGTCAGTAGATCTTCATATTGCCCCACTGCGTTGGTGATTCTCCTAATCAGGTGGCGTCAATATCATAGAAATGTGAAAAGGACAACAACAACAACAACAACAACAACAACAACAACAACAACAACAACAACAACAATAAAAGGAATGAGGAGAAGGTGTTGTCTGTCACCTGTTGGAGTTTCTTCAAGTTGTGTTGCAGCATTATGATCTCAGAGTCCAGCTGATTGCGCAGTTCTATCTTCTCCGACTCCAGTCGCTCTTTTTCCTGCGGGGTACAATAAAAAAAATTACGTTATTCTCAACAGTTTTCTGTTCGTTGAGGTTCATTGGATTTCATATTAATACGATAGGGCCGAATGGCGTCTCTGGTGTTGTCTTAAGTTACAATACAAGAAAGAAAGAAATACATGAGTGAGAGAAAAACAGAGAGAGAGAGAGAGAGAGAGAGAGAGAGAGAGAGAGAGAGAGAGAGAGAAGAGAAGAAGAAAAAACCGAGAGAAAAATAGACGTATACAACAGCGATACCAGTGGTGTTGATGGTGATGAAACCATTTATTTTTTTTGGTAAAAGTTTTACGGCACTTGCAACACAATAAGGTAATATAAGTGGCGATCATGGTTCTCCATTCATTCCTTTTCTCGGATGCTCTAAAAAAAGCTACGTTTCCCTGATCTTTCCCTGTTACCCATTTGTTTAGGTTCCCTAAGTACGTTGTTCTGGGCCTACCCCTGCCTCGTTTGCCTTCAATTTTGCCAGTGAGAGCTAGATGTTCAAGACCCTTATGTCTATTCAGGTGTCTCAAAAGTGCATTTGTCGTTTCCTGATTGTTTTTAACAATGACCGTCTCACGTGGGCTTCACCAAGCACTTCTTCATTTGATTTCTTTTTCTTCCACGCTACTCTTAGCAGTCTCCTAAGAAACCACATTTCTGTTGCTTCTATTTTATTTTCACTGTCTTTAGTGATTGTCCAGCATTCACAGCTATATAGAAGGGTTGACCAAACATAGCATTTCAGAACTTTCATTTTGGTGTTCATTGAGATGTTTCTATTTTTCAGGATTGGGCTAATTTTTTATTGAAACTAGCCTTAGCCATTATGTGTGCACCAACCTGTCTGCGTACTCTCTCCTCCACGCTCTGAACCTGTTGGTCCATCTCCTCTTCCAGGCGTCGCAGGTGTTTGTCGTGCTCATCTTTTTCTCTGGATGGATGGATTTAAGGATGAGAGGATTGATGGATTGATGGATAGATGGGTGAGTGGGTGAATGAGTGGAAGGGTGGATGGATGGATGGATGGATTTAAGGATGAGAGGATTGATGGATTGATGGATGGATAGATGGGTGAGTGGGTGAATGAGTGGAAGGGTGGATGGATGGATGGATGGATGGGTGGATGGATGAATGAGTGTTTGGATGAATGAGTGGACGGATGGATGAATGGATGAGTCGATGGATGGATTCATGCACGGGTGGAATCTCCAGCTGGTTTATCTCTTTCTCTCTCTCTCTCTCGCTCTCTCACTCCCTCCCTCTACCTTTGACCACTGTAACGCCAGTCCCTCCCTCTCTCTCTCTTCCCTTGACCAAAGTGACGTCACTGCAGTGACTCACTTTTTGTAAGTCTTCTCCAGCCGCTCATTCTCCAGCTGGTTTCTATCTATCTATCTATCTATCTATCTATCTATCTATCTATCTATCTATCTATCTATCTATCTATCTATCTATCTATCTATCTATCTATCTATCTATCTATCTATCTATCTATCTATCTATCTATACATATATATCTCGCTCCCTCCCCCCTCTCCCTTCACCTTTGACCACCATGACATCACAGTGACTCACTTTCTGTAGGTCTTCTCTCTCTCTCTCTCTCTCTCTCTCTCTCTCTCTCTCTCTCTCTCTTTCTTTCTCTCTCTCTCTCTCTCTCTCTCTCTCTCTTTCTCTCTCTCCCTCTCCCTTCACCTTTGACCACCATGACATCACAGTGACTCACTTTCTGTAGGTCTTCTCCAGGCGCTCATTTTCCAGCTGGTACTGCCGCACGTCCTTGAGCACGTTGAGGAGAATGTTCTCGAACTGGGTCACCAGCTCTGGCTTGTCCACGCTGTGAAGGTTCTGGTACAGCTCGCACACTTGCTCTTGGCTGTACAGGGAGGGAAGTTTGGGGGGGGGGGGGGTTGCAATGAATACCTTGTGTTATGTAATAATAATAATAAGTAATGATTATAATCATCATCATCATCATCATCATCATCATCATCATCATCATCATCATAGATAAAAATAAAGGGTGAAAAGTGTTTGTTTTTGTGTGGGGGGGGGGGGGGGGGATGTTGCAATGAATACGTTATATTTTTATAATAATAATAATAGTAAAAATAATGATAATAATGATAATAATAATAAAAATAATAATAATAATAATAATAATAATAATAATAATAATAATAATAATAATAATAATAATAATAATAATAATAATTTAATGATAACGACGACGATGATGATGA